GTGTGTGTGTGTGTAGTATATAAGTATTGGAAATATCAATAGTAGAGTTATATATGTGTGTGTGGTATGTAAGTATTGGAAAAATCAATAGTAGTATTACATATATATGTGTGGGGGGGTATATAGGAAAAATCAATAGTAGAATTATATATGTGTGTGTGGTATGTAAGTACTGGAAAAATCAATAGTAGTATTATATATGTGTTTGTGCAGTATATAACTATTGGAAAAATCAATGGTAGTATTATATATGTGTGTTGGGGGGGATTTTATAAGTATTGGAAAAATCAATAGTAGAATTATATATGTGTGTGTGTATGCGGTATATAAGTATTGGAAAAACCAACAGTAGTATTACACATATATATGTGTGTGTGTGTGGGGGGGGTATATAGGAAAAATCAATAGTAGTATTATATATATATGTGCGTGTGTGCAGTATATAAGTATTGGAAAAATCAATAGTAGTATTACACACACATATATATGTGGGGGGGGTATATAAGTATTGGAAAAATCAATAGTAGAATTATATATATGTGTGTGTGGTATGTAAGTACTGGAAAAATCAATGGTAGTATTATATATGTGTTTGTGCAGTATATAACTATTGGAAAAATCAATGGTAGTATTATATGTGGGTGGGTGTGTATGTAAGTATTGGAAAAAATCAATAGTAATATTATATATGTGGGTGTGTGGTATGTAAGTATTGGAAAAATCAATAGTTGATATATATACTTGAGTGTGTGTATGTATGTATGTATATGTAAAGACCTGGCTTTATGAACAAGCGTTTGGTTAAGCAGTGCAACCAATCATAGGAAGACGGTAAATGGAACATAGGAATGGCACAAGGATTATGAGAACGGATCTGATTTCAACTGAGGCGTTATGTTATGTCTGTTTTGTTGATCTGTCTTGTTGATTGTTAACTGTTGTGGATTGATGCTGTTGATCCTGTTTGTTGCATTGTTATGTTTTAATTGCACTGACACTGTTTGATAATTGTACCATGTAAACCGCATTGAGTCGCCTGTTAAGGGCTGAAAAATGCGGTATAGAAATAAAGCAAATAAATAAATAATAAATAAATATGTATGTATGGTATGTTATATATATGATATGTAAGTACTGGAAAATCAATACTAGTATTATATACATATGTGTGTGTGTGTGGTATGTAAGTATTGGAAACATCAATAGTAGTATTATATACTTGTGTGCGCGTGTAGTGTGTAAGTATTGGTCAAAAAAATCAATAGTAGTAATACACACACAAATGGTATGTAAGTACTGGAATAATCAATAGTAGTATTATATAAATATGTGTGTGTGTGGTTTATATGTATTGGAACAATCACACACACAGAGACACATATATAGTATGTAAGTACTGGAAAATCAATAGAAGTATTATATACATGTGTATGTGTGTGGTATGTAAATACTGGAAAAATCAATAGTGTGTGTGTGTGTAGTATGTAAGTACTAGAAAAATCAATACTAATATTATATATTGTATGTAAGTACTAGAAAAATCAATAGTAGTATCATATACTTATATGTGTGTGGTATGTTATATATATATATATATATATATATGTGTGTGTGTGTGTGTGTGATATATATACACACACACATACATACACACATGGTATGTAAGTACTGGAAAAATCAATACTAGCATTGTATACATGTGTGTGTGTATCTGTGGTATATATGTATTGGAAAAATCAATAGTAGTATTACATACTTATATCTGTATATATATATTTGTTTGTGTGTGGTATATAAGCACTGGTGAAATCAATAGTTGTGTGTGTGTGTGTGTGTGTGTGTGGCATGTAAGTACTGGAAAAATCAATAGTGGTATATACTTATATGTATATATAATATGTGTGGTTATACTGATTAAAAATCAATTGCAGTATGGGAAAAATAAATGGTAGTATTATATATTTATATGTATCCACATATATATGTGGAATGTAAGTATTGGGACAATCAAAAGTAGTACTATATACTTATGTATGATATATATAAGTGGTAAGTTTTGGAAAAATCATTCACGTAAGTTTTGAGGTGCTAAATGGCCAATCTATTAATGGACTAAAGACCTTTTCTAGGCTCTAATGCAGGCATGGGCAAACTTCTGCCCTCCAGGTGTTTTGGACTTCAACTCCCACAATTTCTAACGGTTTGTAGGCTCCAAGTATGAAGCACAAGGGCTACTCACGGAGGCGTCTTCCATGGGGAACATGAGCAGATCCCGGAGCGGATCGCTGTAAATCTGGGCTTTCCTTTGAGAGATGACATTCTCGTAGTCCAAGGGCTCGATCGCCTTCGTCTTCTCCTGGCAAAACAAAATGCAGGGAGCTCAAAAAAGAGAAGACCTTCGGGCCTTATCTGTGGTGCTTTGCCAAATTACAAATCCCGCAC